GTGGGAACACACAGGAAGGACACCTACCTCGCATTGGGGGCCAGGAAAATTTCTCCACAATATTAATATCCAGACTTAGTTCTGAAGAATGTCTAGGGACTAGCCCGATGAAAACTGAGGGGGGTTTGAGGACCCACAGGCAGAGAAGAGTTGAGGGAGAGAGCAATAAAGATCAAAAGACGGAGGGTTAACTAGCATAGGCTGATGGCTTCCTCCTGTCAACTACGAAGAGACAATAAGAGCAAGAAGGACATAGGGATATGAAAAAGAGGACGGAGGTCCCTCAAGAAGTTAAAAATAGAACTACTATATGATCCAGCAATCGCACTTCTGGGTATGTATTCAGAGGAAATGAAAATACGATATCGACAAGATACATGCATTTCCATACTCACTGCAGCATTATTCGCATTAGCCAAGATATGGAAACAACTTAAGTGTTCATCACTGGATGAATAGATAAAGATCTCTCTCTCTCTCTCTCTCTCTCTCTCTGTATATACCATATAGCCTAGGTGTGGTGTAGGCTGTCCAATCTAGGTTTATGTACACACACACACACACACACTGGAATATTATTCAGCCGTGAGAGAGATGGAAATCTTGGAATTGTGACAACATGGATGGACCTTGAGGACATTGTACTTAAGTGAAATAAGTTAGAGAAAGAAAAACACTTCATGGTGTCACTTATATGTAGAATCTAAATAATAATAATAATAAAAAAAGTCAAACTCACAGCAACAGAGAGTAGAAAAGTGGTTGCCAGAGGCTGAAGGGTGGGGGAAATAGGGAGAGTTTGGTAAAAGGGTATAAACTTTCAGCTGTAAGACAAATAAGGTCTAAGGACCTAAAGTAAATTATGGTGATCGTAGTTGATAACATTGTTTTATACAATTGAAATTTGCTAAGAGAGTAGAACTTAAATGTTCTCACCACTCCCTGCCTCCGATGGTAAATATGTGAACTGATGAATATATACATTAACTAGGTGGGGATGTCCTTTCATAACGTAAATCTATATCAAATCATCACGATGTACACTTTAAACACCTTACAATATTATTTGTCAGTTATACATCAGTAATACTGGAAGAAAGAAAAGAATTAGATGTTGAATTGCAATAAATCTGTAGTTTGGAAGCAAACAAGGAGAAAACCCTGAAGAGTTTGCAGATTATCTCGATTGGTGTGTGGGGGGTAGTTGGTGGGTAGTGAAGGAGTTGCCCAGAGCGGAAGGTGATTGGAAGCCGCATGAAGAGGGCGAAGTTGGAGGAAAACTTTGTAAAGTCTCTTTTCGTCCCTTTCCTCCTGGGTACCGTGGCGCAATCCTTGCTCCATGGTTCCCTGCAGAGATTTTGAGAAATGGCCCAGCAGGTACAATGGACAGCACAGGTTCCCTGCTCGGGTGAGACACTGATGAAAACAGATGCAACTGATTCGCCACCTCAATGCATTTATTTCTCATTACCTCCTCCTGGATGCCCAAAGCCTAGGGAAAGGCTGTTTCGCTGGTATTTCCTCCTGAGGTGAAACCATGATTAGAAAAGTTGTCTGGTTGGTTGGCAGCACTGAGAGTGATCAAGTGTGGCTCTGATGACCTTGAGTCTCTCTGCTTTTGGATTAATCAATGCCCTTTTGCTTCTTCATTAGAACCAAAGAACACTGGGTCCTAGCCTTGAGCCCCAGTAATTTTTATGAGATGGAAGAGTTGATAACCCCAGGGAAAGATGAGTTCACTGACCAAAATAACTAAGCACCTAGGGAGTTAAATCACCTAATGGAAGGAACAAACTGGATAATCCATGCTAACTATGGCAAAATTATTTAAAAAAAAAAAAAAAAAAACAAGAATTTAAAATAAGCAGAGTAAGCATAATTAAAGGAATAAGAGACTTCTGTTTATAAGGTGGGCTTGCTGATCTTCCTTCTGTGTCCACTGAGCAGGAGGGAGAGGCCTGGTGAGAGATGGTACAGTAAAGAGAGGAGGCAGCTATGGGGAGTCCTGCAGAACCTCCGCCTGGGGAGGCAAGAATGCACGCCTGGGCCATGTCTGGGCCACGGAAACAGAGCATCAGGGAGCTGGTGTCAGGCCATCTTGTTGCCGCCCTAGATAAGAAGTTTACTGTCTGGCCGAGAGGATCCCATCTCATTAATATGAGAATGTGCTATGTGGATTGGGTTGGGTTGAGGGGCGGGGTCAGGCTGACGGATGCAGTGGGAAGGCCCTCTGCAGCTCTGACCCCGAATTTCACATACCTACCTATCTGAAGAAGATGCCATTTAAAGACCATCTCAAACCAAGATGGCACCCTCAGGGGAGAGGATGGCCCCATCCACCTCGCCTCTTCCTTCAGACCTTGTGAGAGATGAGGAGCAAGAGAAACTAGGGGGAGAGCGGAGATGAAGAAGTGACAGAACTCGCCATGGATTCTCTCCTGAATCTTAAGACACATACTCCAAATTCCTTAGGCCAAGGAAGGGGCGAAAGGAGCATAAGATACGAACTTTTAAACTGTATTAAAGAGGACTGGACTAACCCTTTTTACCTCCCAAAGGATTAACAACACTATGAAATGTATGTGAGAAGTTAACAGATGTGAAGAGGGATTCAACAGAGCAGAAGTGAAGGCAGCTGGAGAAAAACCGAAATTATTTCATATTATTTTATATTATATTTTAGATTAGAATGGAGTCAAGATTGTTTCTTACACATGTCATATTGGAGAATTTCTTGCACGATATACTTAACAGTTTTAAAAGGTAAAAATGGTTACGTTGAATAAAAGATAGGAATATGGTTTAGTTCAAATTCTCTGAAAATAAAGCACAGGCACAAAAAATCACAGTTGCTAAAATATTTACCTGCTCAAAGTTGGGTAGCACAACATCTTCATCTCCAAGGACAAAAGTCACCATGCTGCAGACATGAATGGAATGCCCTACTGGCGAATATGCGCTGAAGAGCAGCATATGTCTCCTAAAGAGAATGGATACTATATGAGGACCATGGGTTTGCTCTGTTTGGAGTTCTAGAGCCTCTGTTAGTTTCTTGAGGACAGTTTGTGCTCAAAGTCAAACACTAGTAAGACCTGAATTCAACAAAGATGGCATAAAGACCTTTGAATGCTCACTCAAAAACCCTTAGAGATCGTGGAAGCTCTATTTCACTATGTCAGACAAAAATAGTTGCACTGAATGACAAACTGGCACATGTTGGAGGTATCTCTCACATAATGCAGTCACTTGTGAGGGATTAGGCTTGATTTTTCCCTTAACGTGGATGCCAAATGGGATCTCCAGAAAGTAACCTCACAGGGTGAAATCCCAACGGGGCGGGTCAGGGGGCTAGTAATGCCCCAGGCAGACAACTTCTTTAGTAAAAGTCTCACCTCTGTCTTAAACAAGCCCTTCCCGTTGCTTTTGTGCATCTTAAAAATGCCTCTTTTCAGACTTCACATTCTAAAGTGTGCCACAATCAAAGAGTAAATCATGTTAGCTACCCTGTGATCGATCCAGTCCCCGCTTTGCCTTCTCCCCTCTTCATGCAATCTTCCTTAGGACCCCACTCAATGTATCAAAGAAACTGCAACTGTTATTTTCCGGAGCATTTGAGATCTTGTTTCTTGGCAGTTGTCATCAGTCTGGCTCAAATCAACTCTTAGAAAAAGTCTCTACAGGTTTGGACATTTCTTATATAGACACTAACAACAAAAATAATTCATGGTGGTAACCAGGTTTTGCGGATATTGTAGTCATTTTCTCACAAATGCATAATTGCATGCATGTGAAGTATGTTTCTCCTACCAGGTTTCAATGTCATTGAGAGCAGGGACGTTTGCTTCCCCTCAGTTACTGAGCACTTAGAGCATGTTCAAAACATACATGTCGATAGGATAGGTCCAGTGGAGTAAAACGTGAATGTAAGATTCTTCATTAGTTCCCTGTCCTTGGTTTTCCGGATGAAGGAGCATTCAGAGTAATAATATCTGGAAGAATCTCCCCATGACAGTTTTTAGGGCAGGTGTGAGAAATAGTGGTTTTATCAATTTATTATTTTCTAGAAATATTGGATGCTTGCCATCCAATAGTTTAGCATTTGATTTTTTTTTTTTTTGCGTATGCTTTCCTTATTTGTGCAAGAGCCATTCTTTTCATTGATCACATAGAATTAGCATGAATAATCTTGGGAAATCCAGTAAAAATATTTATTTCATCTGAAACATGAGGTACTATTTTGAAATCGATTTGTCAAAACCAAGAAAATGTTTTGATTATATGTATTTTCTTTAAAATAGAATATGTGATGCGTTTAGCCAACTTTATCTTAATTAAAAATAAAATGCGGGTAAAATCAAAAACAACAACAAGGTAAAACTACAAGTTGGTGGGAGAAACGCTACCAGTTGGAAAAACAAAATTTCTCAATCTGTTTAAATAAAATTGTAGTTCTTGCTAAGGAATATAAAAAGATTTGTAAGAAAACAAAAAGGATTCTTTAATAAATGAATTTCAGGAAATGCTGGTTTAAACGCATTTAAACCATATTCTTTACTAAAGAAATTACCAGACTCTGAAAAATATGACTCTACCAAAAGAAGATTCAGTATACAGCATGTTTTTTTAGTGTATTTGTTCATGAAATTATTTTTCTCAAGAATTATAATGATAGACCTGTTCCTTATGACATCGCTTAAGGATGTCCTAGAGTCCATTTGTTTAATTATTTAGAAATCAACTGTTTACATGGCTTTAAAAAAAATTCTTAATATAGAGAAAATGGAGTCATCGCATACCCAACAGGCAGACGAACCATAGCAGCCTTGGTAGCATAGGTGTGAATCTTCAGAACGAGATTGCGTGGCTTCAGCGATTTCCAAGAAAATGTTTCAGCTGTAAGCAGTCCAGGCTCTACGTGGGGGCTGTCTTTTGTTAAAGCTAGGGGAAGTAAAAAATATTAAGACTTTATTGTGAATGTATAGCTGGCCTTCACTTCACAGCATTAATAATAATAATAACAATGATAGAAATTAGCAGTATTATAAAAATGTTCACAAAACAGTAGAAATTACTCTGGGTAAGTAATTATTGGAAATAACACTTAAGTGGAACCCAGATATCCTCCCCGTCCTATTTTCCTACTCATAATCATCCACCTCAGTGAAGAAACCAGGAGTGGAAAAGTGGAGAAAAGGAAGACGGGCGAGGCTATTTCATGGTGGTGGTATACCATCACTTTTATTATCTGTGGCAGTGATTACAATATCCATCTAGATGTAATTTTAAAGGGAAGAAAAGAATCCACATCTGAGAAAATAAGAGATTTTCCTACAATAGTGGCAAAGTAAGGTTACAATACTCCACTGCTTATCTAAGGTTTTACTTTTGATTCTTAGCTTTGATGGTGTATAGAAATAGCAAAAAAAATGAATGACAAATAAATTTCAATTTTGAATGTTTCTCTTAAAATGAATAAAGAATGTCAACTATTCTTCATCAGTAGCTGAGGGTAAAATACATTTAAATTTTTAAAAAATTATTGAGATAAAATTGACATATAACTGCATGATTTGATATTGGTGTATATTGTGAAATAATTATCACAGTAAGTTCAGTTAACATCCATCACCACACACAGTTATAAATCTTTTTCTTGTGATGAGAACTTTTAAGATCTATTCTATTAGCAACTTTGAAATATACAATACAGTATCATTAACTATAGTCACCGGGCTGTTTATTAGATCTCTAGGACTTATCATTTTACCCATTTCCAAATAACACTCAAGCTGAGGATATAAGACCCCAGCATGATCTGAAATACTTCTACACACATAAAATTTAAATGTTTTAGGGTATGGCATGGCTTAGGAGTTATTGATTAGGTAGAAATACTAAGCTTACACCACTAAAATTTGAAAAGTTTATTAACCATGTATTTATTGTCCTGTTATATAGTAGATACCATTCAAAGCATTGGGTATATCTTGGTGGAAAATCATAATCTCTGCACTTAATGTTGGGAAGACATTCAATATTAAGCATTCAAAAAACATTTATTGAACCTCTACAGTGTCAGGTACTGTTAATTTGAGTTAGAGATAAATGCTTTATGAAAGCAGGCCAAAGAATTAAAGAATGATAGTTTGTGCTTATGTGCATGTGTGTGTGTAAGGGGCTGGCCTCACAGGGATGCACAGATGGTCCGTCCATTAGAACAGGAGGGAAAGCTAACTAGAGCTTGGGAAAGTTCTTTGTGAAAAGATGAGGCAGGTCATTTCAGATTTTTTTCTATTTCTTCAGTGAAAACAGCATGATAAGAGTGGGTACTGGAGATTTGAAGAGAGAGAGAAAGATTCGAAGGTTGGAAATCATCATTAGGAGAATGAGGGTGAGAGAATGAATGGATGGGAGAAGTGTCATCAGTGCTGAGGGGCCTTTATGACTGCTGTGGTCCTCAATTCAAAGCGAGACCAGCTGGGACAACTGTTTTTACTCCAGTCTCATGCGGCTGCTCTGATGCGGCCACAGGTTAGGTGGAGAATTCCGTCGTTGAGTTCGATTCATATTTTGACTTGAGAGGGTAAGAACAATTGTGTTGATGTCCACGTGAGGATACAAGGGCAATGGTGGACCATGGAGACTAAGCTGGGATTGACAGAAAGAAAGACATGAGAAGAGTGATAGAAAAAGTGGCAGGGTGTCTGGATGGTGATCCCAGTGGAGTCAAAAAATTGTAGGAGTGGGAGTTCTGGAAAATGTGAACTGCAGAGTCAGGGGGTGGTGGTCGAGAGCTTGAAATTGAGATGATTGAGAGAATGCAATTATTGGTACGATAAGTTCTAAAGCATGATCATGAGAGTAGTGGGCCAAGGTGGGATGAAGGAAAAGATCTTCAGAATGGTTAATTTAAAGAAGAAAGAGTTCATGTTCTTTAGCAGAATTTGAAAGAATCAATAATGATGACATGCACGGGTAGGAAAAAAAAGTGACTAGGTGTGTCAAAGAGGAAACAGATAACTGCAGTAAGAAGAGGTGCAGGTGGTAAGAGTGAGCACAGCCCTTGGTGTCTGAGGAGTGAGATGATCATAGGAAATGATATGACTATCCTAGAGGGTCTGAAGAGGAAACAAGTTCCTTTATCCAGGGCCTAAAAAAAAAAAAAAATGTGTTTCTCCTAGACTGAATGAAAGTGAGCTGGGCTTTTAAGACTATAATCTTCTCAGAGCTCGCTTACCTCCAGATTCTCCCCAACGTACCAATGCAGAAAAGCAAACCAGTAGTTCAATAGGTTTTAGACTATCCACAAAGAGATAGTAGGACACTCGTTCATCGGAGAACTGCAAGAAATCAGACCAATCATTGAACTTAATATTAATTTATAAATGCTGTATTCTCCACATCTAATAATAATACAATGCCTATCGTTTATAGAGAATTTACTGTGTTCTAGACACCATAATCAGTACTTTACAGGTTTCGTGATATGAAGAAAATCATACCGGGTGAATGTTGGCAATAATCGGTGGAAGCTGGGTGTGTGGGCGTCTGGCCACCACATCAGAGACAGGCAGAGCTCATCTCCGTAAGTAAAGGAATACATTTGTTCCAAAAATGACAAAGAGCAGAGGAGCCTGGGCCCAGGCCAAACGGTGCTCAGAAACTGGGTTCCTGATAGGTAGAAGGGCCACAGGATAACTTTGGCAGAGAATGGAAATGTTTCACGGGAACATATTATGGTATTTTACAGAGTGGTATGTGATATAAACCCTCTCTTCCTTCTTTCTACAAGATCTTCAGACATATATCCATCACATGCTAATGCACCAGGCTGAATTTTCGTTTTGGAGATGCAAGAAAAGTGTTGGGTAAAACCAGAACTTTCCTTAAAGGACAGCCACATAAGCGTTACACACATATGATCTCAATCCATCCTTTACGGTACTACTAATATTTATAATTCTAAATAAAGCAACCTACACAGAGAGAGGGTAAGTAATTTTCCAAAGGTCACAGAGCTTGCAAGTAGCAAGGCTGAGATTCAAAAGTAGGTCTTTCTATCTACCTTTCCATCTATCTACTTTAAGACTGGTATTCTTGACTATTGAGCTATTATTGCCTCTCAAATTCTGTGTTTCAACATAATTTTGACTGATGGTATATGGTAAACGTGTTCAATTAATTTAACCATCATTATACTACTTTAAAAGCTTTTCAGATTATTTTACCACAATACTTAAATAACCAGTTAAAATATGAAAGAAAAATCTCTAGTAATACTGTGAAAAAGGAAACTTTGTTATTTAATCAAATATGACAAGATTGCTAGAAATGGTTGATAGAATGTAACAATGGTTTAAATGATTGCTTCCTCCAGTATTTTGCAATACTTAGCATTTGACACTTTTTTTTTTCATTTGTTTCCATTTCGCTGAATCATGTGGGTAATAAAGACAGTTTTCCCTCACATTTACTACATAAATCTGTGAAGGACCCTTGGATTGGCAGACTCAGTGTGCATGCCTGATCATGATATTCTGCACAAAGCTCATTTGCTGTCATTTTTAGTCTGAGAATTTGGGGCTGGGGTGGCCCCAGAAATCAATGGAAGGACTCCGCCCTGGTGCCAGACAGGAAACCTTTGAGTGCCCCTCCCCCACCCCACAGGCCACACTGAGCACCAATGGAACCTCTAAGGAAGGTGCAGGTTCCAGGACCCTGCTCAGGTGACAGTGCCTATGGCCACTAAAATCAGGAATTCTGCCTTCAGAGTCCCACCCCAAGTGGAACACTAATTCAAAACCAGGCAGTGTGGCTGCAAAGCCACTAAACTGCTTCTTCTAAAGGCCACCTGGTAAAAAAGGCAGAGGCTCCACATCAGACAACTCCAGTTCTCATGGTACTTGTGCATACCACTCACGAGTTTGGTGATCTCTGGCAGTTTACTCAACTTGGATCTACCTCAGTTTCCTTACCTGAAAAATGATGATAACCATAGTCCTTTCATAGGGTTTGCTACGAGCAGTTAATGCAATGAAGAACCCAGTTCAGGGCAGGTAACAGAGTCAGCACCCACAAATGACTATCATCTTATTACTGCCACTAATTTGAAGGTGGATAGCTAAGTTAACTGTAAACTACACATTATTCTTATACCATACTCTGAGTTCAGTTATTCCCAACGAACAGTTCTGTTATCTTTATGAAGTCAAAGCATTCCTTGGGTGTCTTTATACATAGACTCCAGGACCAGGTTGACAGTTTCTTCCTCTGCTCCCATCTCCCAGTCACTACTACAGATTTGATTCCTACTTTCAAAGTAGGCAGCCAGCTAAGAGCATCCCTTGTGGAAAGCTTGAAAGGTTTTCTCTGCTTGTATTTTCATCTAGTACAAGTGCAATGGGAAAAGTCACTACCAAGACTCTTAACTTCTCCCAATTGTGCCTAGTGCTCATGGAGATGTGGTATTATTCCTGGGCGGGGGAGGGTTATATGGCCTCACACAAGTAACATGCAAGTTTCAGTACAGTTGCCTTTTTCCCCAGAATGTGTTTTATAGTTCTCTCAAAATGTCCACTCGAGGTGAGATTTGTTAATTCATTCAACAACGTTTTATTGAGCTCCTTATGCCAGGACTGGTCCTTCCCCTAAAGATGCTGACACCAAGTGGGTGGGTGGAGGGACACCAAGAAGTAATCAAGCAGTTGGAATGGTGGGCCGTCAGCACCTGGGTGAAGACAGGTCATGCAGAGTGCATGGAGTCAGCGAACTTGACCCAGGCTCTACGGCCAGGGAAGGAGGTCTTACAGGGTCAAGGATGTCCATGCTGTTCTGAAGGATTTCTAGGTACTACTCAGATGCAGGCAATAAGAATGAAGGGAAATGAAGTCCAGGGCGGGGGGAGGAGAAAATGGGCAAAAATCACAGAAATGGCAGTGAAAATGTGCTGTGTTTTAGGAACTCCACACACTTTAGTAAACGCTTAATTAAAATTGAAATATAGTGAATTTATTTGTTTCTCCTTCATTTATTTATAAATAAAAAATTTCTTAATGTGAATTTATATAATAATGCAGCTCAGGATTGAACCACTACAACACGATCATATGAAGCACATAAGAGGTAGTGGAATTTAGCTTACTCTCTGGATAACAGATTAGCAGAAAACCCTAAGAATTAATTTTTTAAAATATAATCATGTTTCAATTTAAAAAATTTGAAGGTGTTTTTTATTAGCATGATTCTAAAAAAAAAAAATCATAATATATTTACCTTAAATTCTGTTTTTTGAAAGTTAAGGCAGTATGAACTTGGCCTGTGAAAAATATATATTTTCCTGAAAAACATTATTTATAACAGGTTATTATCATTCTATGCAACAGGGTAGTACTACATGTTAAGTTTCTTACGTTCAGTTATAGGCAGAACAAGATAAAGACAGATGAAAATTTAAAAATAATAACTCAGAGACAAGCATTTTTAAATAAATGCACATGAAAAATTTATACTTACTGAAAGCATACACAGAAGTCTTCAAAATCTAACCATATTTCTTTAGAAACACCTGTATTTATTGCTATAATTTCCTCCTGCGACTTTTCCTGTGTTGCTGTTGGTGGGCTGAACAAATCTCGCTCCAAACTAAATCCGTTAGCTGTATGGGCTGCGTCATTCAATCCAGAATCTGTAACTTCATCTGTGCATGGCAGAAGACAAACACGTCAAACACACTTGTTGTTAAATGTTAAGTTATTAAGACATGGAAAATTATAGAGGGGAGTTCTCACGTCAAAGTTTAGTTTTGAGAAAACATTGACTGAGATAACATTTACATGCAGGCCTCAGAATTGTGGAGATCCATACAGAGACATGTCTATAAACCAGGGAGAATCTAATGATACGCATAGTAGAGTGTTGAGAAATTTCTGAATCACTTTCATAAATCTGTGCACATGTTCTTTAGAGACTATGGAGTTATAACAGAAATTAGCTGGCTCATGTACTTAAAATCTGCCATACAAATACATTCATAGAAGAGGGGAGGGCTCAGACAGCAGAAGGAGAAATGAAAACTTGAAAGATCTGTTGTGGATACAGTATTTCAGTGACTTAATTGCTCTCCGCAGTCGGTGATTCTGTAATCTTATTTCTTGTTCATTAGGTAATTCCATAAAATTCTTACAGGCTTCTTGAACCTAAACTTGCTGCCTAACACAGTGTGGGATTTGAGGTTTGGCCAAGTCTTTATTTAGGAACCGAGGAATTTGCAGTAGCTTCAGTGCTTTGATCATGGCATGCATGCCTTAAAACACATGAACTTTACTCATGGGACTTTAGTCAAACTGTCTTTTATTTTGACTTTAAGCTTAAATTTAACAAGTGAGATTATCTGATTTTTCTAGCCCAGAGCAGATTAGACTCAGCACATCAGAGGAGACACTTAGAGAGGCTGTTTAGAGCTAAAAGCACAAAAGCAGAGACCCTTTTGTGCTTCGAAGTCTATGAAAAAAAGTCATGAGAAGATTATTAATTTACCTTTTCCAGGTATAACTTGTGAAGGAATATTACCCTGTGAATTGAAAGAAACACATTTAAAAAAATTTATAAATTCAACAAAACATGACAGCTATCTAAAGCACTCCAATTTTTTAGAGTCAATAGTCTTTTAAACATTGAAGACATAGATTTCTAAAAATACTTAGTAAAGCATACAGTAAAACAGAATTTGTTGTTAACCTTAAAATGCAAAAGATGTGCATTTAATGAAATGATTGAGGGTTTAAGTTTGACATTAAAATGCAGAATATTTGAGTTTATTAAATGATTGAATCTTATAATAAAAGTTAAATTAAAACAATAATATCCTTGAATAGATATATAACTGGTATGAGGCACCTGTCATTAATACAGACTGAGTCATTAATACTATAACCGGCAATTAATGAACAGAACCTAGAAAGCCTGGTTTCAAATTACAAAAAAAAAAAAAAAATGGTTCCTCAAAATGTTAACAGAGAAATGAAGTCGAATCCATATGTACAATTCTGTTTTCTCTGGAACACAATTAAAATAAGTATAAAAGGTAAAATGGTATAAATTTGTACAGACTGATGATGGGTAATTTTGACAATATTTTGGATGATGTAAAGTAGATAGGGATGATAACAGAGTCTCTGATGAGTAACAGATGATAACTGAATATCAAATGCTAACGAGAAGAAAGCCCATTCATGCCTTAGGACCCCAGAAACAATTAGTAGGCATCTGAGAAACAGAGAATGAGACATGAAATGAAAACACAGGAATGGGTTGAATGTCTGTAGAAGGAACAAATTCCCACTTCTCCCAAATCCACTGAGCATCTATCATTCTTCTGCCTCAACAGGACACCAGAAGTGGCTTAAGTAAAGAAATTACATGAGAAATCTTCAGATCTGGGTTCGCAGATACCATGGAAAATAGGATACGCTACGATATAGAGAGGAGAGGAATTAAGTAATTGTTCACGTGCTGAACCTTGAGATTCTCAGCAACTCTGAGCTGCCTGACATCAGTAACACTGATGGATAAGTGTAGGCCAATTCCCGTGACCTCGTTCCACCCTAGTAAGGAGATTAGAAGACCTTTTACGGGAGAAGCTTACCAGAGCCTAGGACAAACCTCGGGGAATCTGACATTTGGAGCTAATCTCACCCCCAGATGAAGCTCATTCATCCCCAATTATTCTAAATTAATGCTACCAGTTGTCAAGCTCTATCAATGCCATAAAGCTGCCTCCAATCGGTAGCTCTTTAATGTAATAAATTCCTTAAATGCATATGTCCAACAAAGTATAACCAGACAATTGAAGAAAGATTCTTATATAAAAGAAACTAATCAGTGTGGGTGAAGAGAATCATAGAAAACAGAAACAATAATATAGGGAGAAATTTTTTTTTTAATTAGCAATATCAGATAAGAGGACATTCATTTATCAAATAACAAACTTCTACAAAAATATAATAAAGATCAAGAGAGAGCTCTTAGAAGCTAAAAATAGAAAAGTGAAATTCAGTAGAAAGATTGGATGGCAAATATGATACAAAAGACAAAGAGATTAAAACTATAAAACTTTTAAAAGAAAACATAGGGGGAAGTTTCATGACATTGGATTTGACGATGATTTTTTTGGATATGACATCAAAAGCACAGACAACACAGGTAAAAATAGATAAATTGGACTATATCAAAATGAAAATAATTTTAAAAACCCTGATATTTAAAGGACACAATCAGTAGGGTGAAAATGCAACCTACAGAATAAAAAAAATTATTTTAAAATCATATATTTGATAGACAGTTAACATCTAGAATATATAAATGAACAACAACAAAAAACCCTGATTAAAAAATGGGCAAAGGACTTGAACAGACATTTATCCTAAGAAGATATATAAATGGCCAAAAAGCACCAAAAAGATGTTCAACATCAATAATTCTTAAGCCAATGCAAATTAAAACTACAAGGAGATATCACCTCACATTCATTAGGAAAAAAAACACACACACAACAGGAAATAACAAATGTTGGTGAAGATGTGGGGAAATTGGAACTTTTGTGCACTCTAGGTGGGTACATATAAAATGGTGCAGTTACTGTGGAAAACAGAAAGGCGATTCCTGAGAAAAGTTAAAAATTAAAAATCAAACAACCATATAATCCCACATCTTGGTAAATGAAAGCAGCATCTCAAAGAGATATTTGTATACCCATGTTCACAGCAGCATTATTCACCAAATGTCCACTGATGAATAAATGGATTAAAAATGTGGTATATACATACAATGGAATATTATTCAGCATTAAGGAAAGGATATATGGTATATTGTAGATGAACTGAGAGGATATTATTCTAATTGAGATAAGCCAGCTACAGAATACAAATACTGTATGATTCCATTTACAAGATGTACTTAGCATAGTAGATTTCTAGAGACAAAAAGTAAAATATGATTTTAAGGGGCTGAGTAGAGAAGGGGATGAGAAATTGTTGTTTAATGGGTATAATGTTTTTTGTAAGATGACATGAGTTCTGGAGATTGGTTGCATAGCAATGTAAATGCACTTAATATTGTATTGAGAAAAAGAAATTCTCAAGGAAACAGTATAAGAGAATTCTCCAGAACTGAAAAACATGAGTTTCTATGTTGATTGGGCTCATGTAGTACTTAGCACAGTTCACATAAAAAGACTCATTGCCAAAGCGATCATTGTAAAATTTTAGCATTCCAGAATAAAAAGAAAATCCTAAAATTTTCCAAGCGGGCAGAAAGACTCACATACAAAAGATCGAAAATCAGAATAATCTGTATTCTCAATATCAATCAGACTTGAAGGTGAAAGACACAGGACTAAGAAAGAGCTTCAAATTTCTGAAAGAAAAAACATCCAAACTGAAATTCTATATCCCACCGAAATATAAATCAGGCGGGAGAGTAGAATATAGGTATCTTAAGGCATACAAATTCTCATAATTTCTACTTCCATACATAATTTCTCAGGAAATGTTAAAATATGCACTCCATCAAAATTAGGGCATAAACTGGGAGGAGAATGTAGTTTCTAGAAAATAAGAAATCTCAGAGGAGAGAGACAAAAAGTCCAAAGATGTCAGGTGCCAAGTTTCTACGTTTCAACTGAAGCAAAAGAGCAAAGGATTCCAGGGGGTGATGACTCCAGGAAAACAGCTGACATTAATAGAGCATCTGATGTGTTTGTGTGGCAAATGGTATCTAGAAGAGTTTCCTTCTTCCTTGTTTTCTTCCTTCCTTCCTTCCTTCCTTCCTTTTCCTTCCTTCCTTCCTTCCTTCCTTCCTTCTTTCTTTTTTGGTGTTTGAGAAGGCCTACTATTGTGTCATAGAAAAGTAAGCAAATGAAAAAAATGCAGTAACTAGCTTGTACAAAAAGTTGTGTAAGGAACATCTTAATATTTGCTTCAGCAGTAATAATCTTTTCACAGCTAGAATACTGATTCGACAAAAACTTGTGAAATGAAAAAAATCTAGAACACAGAGAAAAGTAGAGGAAAGTGGAGGTAAGTGAGGACTGGAGTGCTAAGTCTTTATCTTCCGTAACAGGAAGTCAGGAGATGACGTCTACATTGATAGAACAAGAAATAACAGAGTTCAGTTATTTAACACATTTGTAATGATGTCTGCCACGTATTAGGCATTTTCACAGGTGCTGAGGGAGAAATGATATATGATAAAACTAGCATCATAGTCATCATAAAGCTTACTATTTAGAAATATGAAGATATATACCAGAAAAAAAAAAAAACTAAAATAAAAGTGATTGATTGACTGTGAAGAAGAAAGCTAAGGAATAAGGAGGGGTAAGACAGGTTGACTATTTTTATGATCTCAATGGTAATTTTTTACTCTTTAGAACTATTGTATACAAGTTTTAATTTTTTTTAATCTTTAAAAATGTTAAAGTTTATTCATTTTCCTTATAAGAGTTTCACCTTATAGTCTCTGCTTTCCAAAATACTAAAAAATCTGTTTACCTAGATGCGATGATGTGCCCTCCAAGGTATCTTACACCAGCTGTACAGGTTGGTAAAAGTGAACTATGGTTCATTCATATAATAAAACATAACACAACTTTAAAAATGAAGACATTCTTTAGGTATCGATATGAAACTATTTCCAGTATACACTGAGTAACAACTTTTTTTAAATTTGTTAAAATTTGAGTAGATAAAAAGAAGGTGGTAGAATCATGTGTATGTTTCTTTGTATTTATGTAAAGAAATACAGTGTCCTACAGAGAGCAGTGAAGATGGGAGAGGTTCATAAATGGAAGACTTCATGTATGCTTTATATTTTTAATTTTGAACATGTGTATATATTCCCTATCAAAAAATAAATACCTTTTCACACCCACCACACTGGCAAAGTTGAAACGTCAGATAATACAAGTGCTGGCCAGAATGTGGAGCAAAGAAAATCCTCATCCAGTGCTGACAGGAGTGGATATGGATACACCCATATTGGAAAACTGCTTGGTATTTTATGTAAAGTTAAACAGGTGAATACCCTATGACCCATCAATTACACTCTCAGATTCATAGCCTAGTAGAACTTCCTAATCTAGTGTCCACTGGGGCTAATGGTTAAATTTCAGGAGTCCATGAACATGGGTAATTTTTTTTTAAAAATTAATCTTTAGCTAAAGTTCAACGCTTTCTTCAATTATCAATTTATCAATACAGATGAACAGCCATGATATTATTAGCAATAACTGTAACTTTATCCATAAAAGAAATCGCAATATTTTGCATTATAGTTGTTGCAAATATATTAAAATATCATGTATGCTGATCACTACTTTGAAATTACAGCACTTATTAGGCCCATTGTTAGATTTCAGATGTTACACTTTCCTGTCTACAGATACTCTTGTGACCTATAGCTGGCCAACTAACTGGCAACCACATTTAGTAGTCATTCAACCGTCAAACAGTGAAGTTGTGTGTTCTTGCAGTGCTAACTCAGACAGCTATTTTGCCTTCTACTGTTTCCTATCAAAAATACCCAACTAATACACAGGAAGAGAGTTGTTTTCACCGTATATTAAAGTTTTAAAAAACTGGGAGCCATATATAGCACATAAAAGTTTATAAACCCTGGAACTAAAAAAAATTCTTGAATATGTGTACAGAGACGTTCAAGAACAGTCATGGTACCATTGTCTGCAATAGTAAGAAACAAGAAGCAATGAAGATAGCCATTAACACTGTGAAAGTTATTCATTAATAACCTTCGACCAGTGAAATGAATGAACCGTGACCATGCAGTAAAGGAGATGAATCTCATAAACAATGTTAAATGAAAGCAGTCCCAGAGGAATTAATACAAGAGTCCATTTAAATAAAACTACATAACAATTAAACTAAGCTATCTGTTATTTATAAATGTATACTTAATTGGCAAAATTAGAAGAGTAGTGAGTTAATTAATATCAAGCTCTGAATGGCAGATAGGAGATACAACCCAGAAGAGACACACAGGAGACTTTCGCAAGAGATGACTATTCCATTTTCTAATCTAGGTGATGGATACACAGAAGTTTACTTTAACAGTATTCTTTATTCTGTTCAGATGCTCGTGATACATTCCTTTTATGTATAACATATCTCACAATTTAAGAAAAACCTTTTTTTATAATTCTTTTATAAGAATTGAGTCAATAATAAAAGTAACATAATTACCTGAGATGTAGCTCCTACCACTTGACTTAAATCTGGCTGGCTAATGGTTGCAGTTTCATCATTTTCGGTAAAAGAAGATAAACCAGATCCTGGAGGGATCCCCTTCTTAATAAAAGATCGTACAAAATGACTAAAGGGGGAAAAAAAACTTCTGTTAACTTAATCTCTTCTTTAAAGCTACTAATAAATAACTGCAGTTTTGTATTGAGATGTAATCGGCACATAACGTTAGTTTCAGTTGTACAGCAAATAATTCGACATTTGCATATATTGTAAAATGACCACCACAAGTCTAGTTAACATCTATGGCCACACAGAGTTACAATTCTTTTCGTTGTGATAAGAACTTTTAAGATCTACTTTCTTAGTATTTGTCAAATATTTAACACAGTATTACTAACTATAGTCACCACATCGTACATTGTAATCCCAGGACTTATTTTATATATATACCTTGTACCTTTTGACTGCCTTTACTCATTTTGCCCACCCACCAACCTAACCAATTTGTTCTAAGTGTCTAAGAGTTCAGTTTTTGTCTTCCTGTTTTAATATATGTATTTTCTAGATTTTACTTATAAGAGATCATGTGGTGTTTGCCTTTCTCTGTCTGACTTATTTTACTTAGTATACTGCCCTCCATGTCCATCCATGTTGTTGCAAATTCCAAGATATCCTCCTTTTTTATCACTGAATAATATTCCATTGTATATTAAGTAACTGCAGTTTATCAACAATAGAAAGTGCTGATTTTGTATACCATCATTCCATTCTTTTACAACCAATCATATTTTTTCTTCATGTCAAAAGCATTGAATTTAATTCTATATTACTGAAGAAATTTTCTCTATCAGTCAATGCATTGGTGTAAAATGTTTTTGGACACTTTTAAAGCTATGGTCATCAATTTTGAATGTTGACGAGCAGAATATAGGAATTTGACAACCTTTAGAATTGATTTACCTAAGAATCGGAGTAATGTATCAGTGAAATAGTACTCAGAGTCAGAAATTTAACTATGAGTCTTGAGCACCTTTATAATGGAGGTATTCATACTTGCGACACAAGTATTCAGTATTTCCTTCCAAGTAATTGCTAGTATGGCTCAAATCACCATTGCCATAGCTAGAAATTTATAGGCACAATAAGACACTTGTTATAGTATATACATTTCAGATAAGTGTGTTTCAAAGATGAAATTATATATTATTTATAGAGACCTTCTAAACTTTTGGATTTTTTTCCTTGGTAGTGTCCATTAAAACAATTCACCTGAAGCAATCGTCGCTGATTACCCAAAATTGCCACTAGAGGGTAGCACAAACATATTTATGAAATAAAAGGTAATAGTGGCAGCAGTCACTTTCAAGTTTGACCAAAAAAAAAAAAAAAGGCGGGGGGCGGGAGGGGGCTTGCGTTTATGTCCACCTGAGAACTCAGTAAAGTAGGAGAAGGGACATTTCTCCGCATGGGCTGAAATGCCATTCACATATCTTTGTGTTTCTGTTTGTCTTTGCCAGATAGAACAAATATGCTAACAAATTCATAACTGTTTCAAGTGATGAATAGATTATTTGAATGCGATCAAGTTATATTTTTATTTTGAGATTATTTCCTAATCCCTCTATCCCCTACTCCTGAGATCTACTTGCAAGCATATTGGTCTTCTTTAACTTGTCCCATATGTCTTTTACTGTATTTATTTCCAATTTTTTTGTTTTTGTTTTTGTTTTTGTTTTGATCTCCATGCTTCAGACTAGATATTACCTTTGGACTTATTTTTCATTTTGTTAATTCTCTTTTCTGCTGTATCTAACCTGTGATTAAACACAGCCATATGTTCTTAATTTCAGTTATTATTCCTCGTTTTTATAATTCTTATTTGACTTCTAAAAACCATTTTACATTCATTATTTTTATATTTTTACTTTATTGAGGGATACTTGAAATACAATTAACTATACAAATTCAAAGCATAAATTTGATAGTCTTGGACATATTTATATATCCATGTATTAGTTATCTATTGCTGCATAACAAATTACCACAATTTTAGTGATTATCATCACATCCTCCATTCATATCGTCCTCTATTCCCTCTTATTATCGCTATTTGTGAACTTCCCGGCCATTTCTCTGAACTCGTTAAAATCTTTAGACCCAGGATCATAGTCTTTCTTTTTAATTTATTGTCATATCCAAATATTAGCAAATTTGGTTTCCTTCCCCATATCCTCTTCCTTTTTCCTCTTTGCTATTGTCTTTGCTATTATATTTAGTTAGTACTTTTTTTCTCTCTCTGGGAGTGACAAACTTTGTCTCTCAGGTTTCTATGACAATTATCTGATCTTGTGATTTAATTATTAGGTATTAACCCAAAACATTCTTCAGTGTTAATGTTTAAGCAAAACAAAGTACATTATTGTTCTAAAACAGGAATCAAAACGATAAAGCCAGACATATTTAGGCTGTATTTTAACCAATTCAAAAGTTACCTTAACTATTTATAAATATGAAGTAAAATCTAAAAGCATTGTTTTCCTATAATCATTGCATTGACAAAAGCTTTAATACATTTATCACCAAAGCATAAATTGCTATTTATGAAGTGAAATCGATTGCAAAGGTTGAGATGTTTTAATGATTATATTAGAACACTTAAATTCAGTTGGCCTTTTTAGTAGGACAAGGAAAATTCCACCTGGTTATATAATATAATAAAAATGGATTAGAATTTCTCATGTTAATCTATAAATAGAAATATAGGTTGACTAAAAAAACTAAAGTAATATAATAAAAGTTTCATAGTAAAAAACTACAATTATAGGCAGATCGCTTATTCTTTTCTTTTAACATTTATAAGAACTTCATGCAATAATGAAAACATTATTTTAGAATATTTAACTATTGAGAACTTAAAATTGAGAACTTAAAGAATTTATTTTTTAAATTTTATTAATATTAATTTAATTTATGTAGCCATATATGCCTCATAGCTACTATGTTGGATAGAAGATAGTAAAAAATTCTGAATAACTAAGGTGTCTCAAAATATTTTCAATTCAATTAATATTTATTGAGAACCTGTTCTATCCATTTAAATATTAGTGTTATAGATGTAAAGCCCGTACATAACCTTTAAAGTGTTATAGATGTAAAGCCCGTACATAACCTTTAAAGTCCCCATTCTAATTATATGTAAGCCATTAACTCATTTTAACAAATTGGTGATGATTCTCATTGTGCCCAGAAATTTAGGGGCAAGTTCGAAGAATGCAAGGTTATTAGAAGCAGACAATATTGAGCATTAAAAGAAAACTAAAACTACAACTAAACCAATTAAATAAATACATTCCAGAAAAGGCTAGCAGTCTGGGCCACTGAGTGTTAGGGTAAGTATAGTTTTTTGAAGTCTCTCTCGCATAAGAAGACAGTAGAGAAATAATGTTAAGTATGATTCATCTATGAAATAAATAAGCCTTTGAGGATGCTCCACTTAGGAAGAAAACACATTGTTTAATATATTCATTAAATGTACATTATAAGTAGTTGACCTAATACGACTTTTTACCAAACTAATGACAACGATGATAATAAAATTTTATTCCATTTATATTATATTGCAGCATCAGTTAGGATTATTTGTGTCACAATAGCAGAAAGTCTAATTCATGGTACAATTAATAGAAAAAGAAGCTACATTGGCTTTTGTACCTGAAAAGTCTAACAGGAATGCAAAATAACATACAATATTCTATGACCTATCTAGAAATATAAAAAGAAAAAAGAATAGAGTGGGGCATATAATTGTTGTGAAATATTTGAAGAACCGGTATACAGAAAATGAATAAAGAACTAAATCATATTATTTTAGCAGCTTCACAGCTTATTCCTTTTAGGGGAAGAACTGTATTTATTTAGGAGACATCTGGACAGAGTATGTTACTTGCTAGATAAAGGAGTAAAGGAGGGGTAAAGTAAATGTGCTTTGAGGACATAGTCTATGAGAAGGCAGCACAAAACCAAAATGGAGGATTAACCTGCTCTCTGAAGAGAACTAAAGAGGGTGAAGAAGGAGGAGTCTGAAGAGAACAGATAAGACACTCTCCAATGTAATGAGAAGCTTGGAAACTATGGATAATGGTGGCCAATGGGAATTCACAATCGGAGAGTGGCTGAATGATTTAAAAGCAGGAGCATATGATATTCTCTATTAACTGGGTTTCTCAAATATGACCAAAATACCATGCCTCCTTCGACCTAGCCACACTTTCCATGAAACCATTAGAAAAATCTGTTATATACACAGATAATTGGGGTATTTTTATTGTTTTGGTTTTGTTTGTTTGGTTGGTTAGTTGGTTTTAAGGAACGGGAAATAGAGCAGAATCAAGGTAAAGTGAGTTCTGGGTCCAATTGGGTAAGGAGCAGTGAGGAGAGAACAGCCATGGGAAGTGAAATGCGAATGAGGGGAACAGCTGAAGCAGCAAGTCACGTTCGGTCCAAGATAACAGACGATACAGACGTATTATACTGCATGTACTCCCCTCTCTTATTTACCCACCGGGTGTCAATAGAAATAAAAATAAAGAAACGCAACATCACACAGAACGGAAAAAATAGAGGTGCCACACTGTGTTTAGGGCTTCCACGCAAGAATTTTGGCGGGGCACATTCAACCCATAACATTCACACCTAAAAAGTTAGCAAAACATGTTTGTTAATTAAGTGGATTCGTCAAATCGTAAGCTGTACAAGATCAAGCAAATATACTTTCATTGATTTTATACGTTTGACCTTTCTATTAAATTAATATTCTTCAAAATGCTCTCATTTAGTGTTATTTTTAACTACACGAACCACAAAATTGTTTTTTGCGACCAAGATGCAACTGTGGGAAAGTGTTATCTACTTACGTTTCTGTCGGAATTGTAAAGGGAGTCATTCTATAATTCAAAAACGGACTTGATATCTCAAGAAACTGTTCAGGCTTCTTTATTATTATTTCTAAAAAGAGACAGGCAGTATGATGTACTTTTTCATCTTCTAAGATTACATGCAGACCTTAACATTTAATGTAGCACTAATTCGATTACCATTTACACAGCAAGTTTCAATGGAGTTATGTAGGAATGTCTTAGAATATATAAGTTTTTTTAAATTACTAACGTATATAGATCATGCCAATGTGAAATTTCTTTAGCTTACTCTTCAGTTGCTTTTCAGATTTACGACATTGAACAATGAAGTCTCAATGGAGAACGTTAGCAATGTCTTCTGGAGTTATTACTTGGCATTTCCTCCTAGTTCAAGTACAGGAATGACTTTCTATAAAAGTCTTTTACTGAAAAAAAAGGTGTTCTCTTAGTGAACCTCTACCACACAATTGCTCAGGACATGAAGAGGAAACGCCGACTAATTCATGGAAATACTAGTGGAAGAACAGAAATGTAACAAAGTAAAAACTGTGAGTAGAAAAGAAAGCAGTAGGGCAAGAAAGGACATGTGGCTGTTCCTCAAAGTCTGCAGCTGACCTGGCTATAAGAAATTCTCAGTAGATAGGGGTCACAGCCCAGGCGCTAACATGGTGAACACTGGAATTAAACATTAGCTATGGTTATTTTAACAAAAGCTCCTGCAATGGAGGAAAGGATGCCCACTGACGGAAAAAAAGGTGAGGCCCTGACACGTGCATGACTTTTCTGTGCTTGTTCTGTGGTAACCTCTAAAATGATCTCTCTCTCTCCATTTCCTGTTAATATTCACTATGAATATTAAACCTACTAGAGAGAAGAAACACAGTCGTATGGTGAGCCTCAAGGTGGGACAGTGCAATCATGGAATCCCACCAATCCTTAGCTGTTCCTCCCCAGCTTACAAAAGCGGTTGCTCACATAGAAATACACAATAATCAGCAGCGAAATCAGAAAACACCTGTATGTTCGACATTTTTCCTTTAATTCACCAACTCCTTAATGATCTGAATGAACAATGGCTTCAAGTGTGGCTCCATGCATTTAACTAAAATTTTGTATTTAAAGGTAAAATATTTCCTTCTGAGTGTCATATGGCATTTTTTTGGCACCATCAGCTCACAGCAGAAACACAAGGAATGTAAAGAAATGACTGAAATAATCAAGCAGGATGGAGAGAGGCAGATAGGCCTAAAAAAAAAAAAAAATTGACCATTTCTCCTCTCCATCCAAAACAGATACTTCTTTAATCTTTATTTTTTTCTGATAAGAAGAAAACATTTTGTGCTGGAGAAATCTCTGCTACCAGCTGTACTGGCCATATCAATGTAGGCAGAAAGCAAATACGAGGAAAATTACATGGTTAACTGTTTTTATTTATTTTTAAATATGGAAATTACAGTTGGAAGTAGGAGGCAAGGAATAGATATATATTCCAATGTATGTGGCTACTGCAGTTTTAGTATCCTGAGTACCACTGAGACATGTATTACACTGTGACCGAGATATGGTTCTCTTGTCACCTGCAATGAAGAATCAGCAATACTTGAATTGGTAGCAGGGACCACATCAAGCATCACCAATAGGGATATAAGCTATGATGCATGGAATCAAACGCTTGAAGAACACTTATAATCTTCACAGCGATGCATTCAATAAACTGTCACTAGGTATGTTTATTGTGGCTTTGCCTTCATTGTTCATTCAGGTGACAGGACTGTGAACATAGCCCCTATTGCAATAACTTCTAGAACATGATGTATTCTTGCTGGATGAATACACTTAGACAATAATTAGGTACTGGAAAAGACAAAGGGAGAAAATGCAAAAACAAGGACATGAACACACAAAAAAATGACAAAAATGCTGTTATTATTAAACATAATTTGTTTTTTGGAATTATATATATGTAATTCATAGCATCCAGTTTTTTAATAATCCTTCATTAAAAACTGCTAGTGTAAAGTAGCTGTGGAAAGGTTACATACGTTGGAACAAAAAAATTATGAATTATTCTGATAGGCTGTAATTTTTAAATTATTAGTGTTTTTTTTTTAAATTGTACATCCTTATGTTTGTGCTTCTACTTTAAAATTGATTTTTCATTAATGGTCTCATTCATTTCTTCTCTTGCCATCTTGGTCTCTTCCATTCATATTTGATGCTCATAAAAAAAAGGAGTTAGAATGAAGAGAAAAATATTGAAGGAGTAAAGAATTGGGCATGGATTATGTGAAGTTTAGAAATGAACTGAGCGAATAAGAGCAAGGTGGAAACAGTTCCCCTGCCCCACTCTCAGCCCATATGACTCTGTTTATTTCTGAAGATAACTGCCACTCTTTAAATGGCTATATGACAATATCAACACTGGAGGCAGTTGAGGGCAGAATTCTCTTCCTATAGCAGTTCTAAATAGAAATCAGTTAACTCAAAGATTATGTCCCTACAGGGTACCCTAGAACAATTTCCATATTAGAAATTCACTCCAGTGGCTTAACATATGCTATTTGTTTCTATATTATTTATTACAAACCACTTTTATACCATTATAATAATCACAATGCCATCATCCAAAGAATGGCCTTCATGTATCTGGTCAGTTTAGACATGAACCAAACTACCCAACTTGTGAGTTGTGGAGAATTAATCCTTTAAAGATATAAAATTGGGACATAAAATTAAATGAAGGCTTTAGGTACAATGTTGGGTGGTTTGCCTTAATATACATCCTTCATTACAAATGAAACTATTAGAACTTCATATAGAGAAATGTTCATTAGAAAGATATTCAGACGATGTAAACCACACCTTGAGCTTCGTCTGTTATAACGGTTTCTTTTTGGGGACGAAAGAGTTTCCAGGGAGGCACTGGGGGTGGCTTTGGTGGTGCTACGAGAGGGCAAGACCTGGTTCTGGTCACCAGCACAGGATGGCTGCAGATGTGGGACAGGCCATACTCTCTTAGCTTCTCAGCAGAACTGGCCTAGAAGGGAGAAGGCAGATTTCAAAGAATTCTTGCAATTTCTTCATGTATATAAAACAATACTTTTTGTCATTATCAGAATACTATCACCACTGTAGAGATGTAGTGGTTATAAAAAATAATAATAACCACTCGTATTTCTACCTCTCTTAACATAAGTACTGTTACCATTTGTATTTCTCTCCATCTTTTAATTTTCCTGGAGCCTCATTTCCTTATTTACAAAATGAGAGACTAGAACAATAAGCTACTTTTGAGTTCTAAAAGTTTAGCTCCTATGAGATTGTAAAAATCTTAGCACAGCAGTTTTGGTCCAAAAATAATCAATCATCATTTTCATAGGTCCAAACTTTGACACAAGTACTTAATATGTAAAATACATATTTTTTTTTTAATCACCAGCAATTGCTATGTAGTGTTAAAAAAAATCCACTACACTTAGTGCATCAGGTCAACGAGGTGATAAGCGGTTGCCTTGTCTACAGTTTATGCCCTCTTCCAGAAACCTCAGATCAGCCACCAGAAATCCCCGATGTCGCTCCTGACAATGGAGCCATTCACAGGACAGAGGACAGAGGCCGCCCTGTATCCTGCCAAGCTGAGCAGTCTCCCAGGCAGATGCTTCACATAGTCCACCGTTCAGATCTCCTGAAGCCACTTGGCTTTGGAACAATTCAGAGTAACACTTAAGAACTTCAGTTACTGATCGATGGCTGAAATATGCCATAAGAAGTCAAGAAATACGTGAGACTTAAAGGAACCTACGCTGTAGTCGGATTCTGATGTTCACAATCTAAATGTTGAAACATTTAAAGTAAAATAAATATTAACTACATCAAATTTAGTTTTACCGATAGCTATTTTTCTTCCTAGTGATTTTGCACTGATTTCTATGCAAACAGCAATGCTCGAAAGTGTAAATTTATGAAATTGTCATTAGGACCAGAAACCCACCTATTAGCTTATTCCAAATTATTGCCTCAGCTAGAACATGCCTTGCTCTTGTGCCTGTGTCTCTACAGTTCAATCTATACTTTGTAGGGGTGGGGGCACAGAATAGGGAGGGGTATCTGTGAGGTGGAACAGTTCTTCCCGAACGCAGGGATTAATGAATCATTATAACAATTAATTAATAATTGTAAGAAGGAATTAGTGTACAATTGGGTCCTGATGAGCCATTTAAGTGTTATATTCAAAATAAAGAGAAAAGTAATTTGACGTTTTTGTTTAAAAAGGCCTAATTAAAAAGTAGATGAAATTGCCACATCCCCTTTATCCATTTTTGTGGATCTTAGTAATTTACTAAAAAAAAATCAGAAATTCTGGAATTATACCTTAGAGTGACTTAAAAACTTATTTTTTATAGATGTTCTAAAGTCTAACCCTTTATTCTACAACTTTCATCCTGTCAAATTTTAGAAGTTTCCCAACACTTGAAAGTAATCCCTTCTATGGAAATTTATGGTAGAATTTATTGATGTTATTTAATAAGACAATGCCTCAGTTAATAGTAATAAAAAAGTATATTACTATAAAATTTATATTTAAATAATATCCCGAAAGATATCATACTCAAAGTAATATTTATAAGCTGAATATTTTCCAGATAGTTTACTATTCATAAAATTTGCTATATATCTCAATCCCTTCCTATAATTGTAAACAAAGTTATAGTGTATTTACTTTCTTTTTTTGAACTGTCAAGCCTTTAAAAAAATAAGACAACTTAAAGCATTTTGAAAATGTATTGTGTCAAATAATTAAATATGATATTAGCATCTATTGTATTATTTGAATAATCCACAAATGTACTAGCCTGATTTAAGATATGTAAGTCAATACTTCATACTTTATTTTATTTCTAACATACTGCAGAAATTTCTGAATAAAGTAAAGTAAATGCTAGTAACAATATAGTTTGATGTTGAGAAACTTTGTTAAAGAGTCTCAAGTTTCCTCAGATTAGAGTTAGGGGCAGGGAGGAATTTAGAGTGAAACATTCTAGTGAAATGCTGAGTAGGCACTCAATAAATATTTTAAAACAATTCATGTGTTAAGACTTAAACCTGGTTTCTTTGCCTGGAAGACCCTTACACTCCTTTACCCCATCCCGCCTCAAGCATTCTAAATGCACAGGTTTGAGCAGGTGGGAGAGGCTTTTTTAGAACTCCCAAAAGCAAGAGGATGAAAGAAAAGTGGAGTCATCCACGTCACCTTTTTATTTCACAGGTTTTGTTGTTTTCTTTGTGATCCGAACCAATTCTTTAAGTAAGTAAGGTATCGACTTAATTTTATATGTTGGTCTCATTGTCTTTGGGGCTATAGTTTTTAGCAATGTACTCCATTTAACAAAATTCCATCAGAACAGAGTTTTTTTTCTGTAGATTTATCTTTAAAACACTGTATCTCTATTATATTCTGATTTGTACCTGGAGAACTAGATCATCTTAGTAACTTCTATAAAATAATCAGCAGGCAAGTTAGGGAGACTGTGCCATAATAGTCAGTTCATTACAGCCTTGAAGTTTATTCAATTACTGTTACAGACACTGGGCTAATTCCTGAGCCTTGGGGCCCCTTAAGCCATTTTCAACCCCACTCGGAGGATTTATAATACTCTTTATGTCCTGAATTCCTCCCACATCTTGAGCTGCCTCTGAGACTTCTCCCCTTGCAATCTATTCAACCTCTAATGGTTCCCTGAACCCAGTGAGTCCTCCTCCACCTCCAGACTTTCCAACACAAGTTCCCCTCTGCTGACTAACATGTACTGTGTAGTTAGACCTACACTGGTTGTGTCTGAACTGAGCACGTACAGACTTTTTTTTCTTGTCGTCATTCCCTAAACAATATGATATAACAATTATTTACATAGCATTTACATTGGATTAGGTATTATAAATAATCTAGAGGTGATTTAAAATATAAAAGAGGATGTGCACAGATTATATGCATATACTATGCCATTTTATTTAAGGGACTTGAGCATTCTTGGATTTTGGTATTCATGGGTGGTCCTGGAACCAACGCCTTGTGGACACTAATGGATGACTGTATAACACTGCACTAGCTAGTCTTATATTCTAGTGTAGTGAATTCAGAACATATGGAATTCTAGAAATAAAGTGCTAGATTCTAAATGTTTCCCAAAGGGTTAAGATTCAATAAGCCCCAAACAAAATAGGGTGTTTGTCTGAATAAACTGAAGCGTAATCTGGCGGTTGTTACCGTTTATAAGAGAAGGAAGGTAAAAATGATTTTTATGTCCAAGAACAAAAGATAATTTAAAAAATATGGGAAACACATGCAACTACTAAATATTATGTTGCCAAATATTTAAGCATGAAAAAGACATTAATGATAGTGTCAAGTGAAAAAGCTGGTTTCCAAACAAAACATAAAATTTAATTCCACTGTGCAAAAAAAAATACACATGTACACACACACACTACATGCACAGAAGGAAAAGAAATTAAAGGATATATGTCAAAATGTTAGCATTGACTATATCTAGGTATTTATACTATGAATATTTTAATTTCATTTCCTTTGTATATATTTTCTAAATTTTCTACAAGTTGTCAGATTTATACACGAAAAAGTAGTGAACATTTATAGCATGTATTATTTTAAGATACAAGGTGGTGATAGTGGTTACTGGCTCTGGATGTGAGTTCATTTAAATCATATATTAAGAAAATGTGTACAATCTGTTTAAGGAAAGGTGATTTATTATTATTTTAAGATAATTTACATGATTCTTACTAAAATATATAATGTAAATTCTTCTCTTATGCTTATAATGGAATTGATAAAATATATGACAACTTTTATTAAAGGCGGAACTATTGAAATCATCTAAGATTATTTTGGCTGTTCCAAGACCCTATGTTCAAGTGCCTAATTTTAAAGATAAGGAGACTGAAATTCAGTAATAAAATTTTAATTAACTTCTGGTATAATCACATACACACCATAAATGATACTGTGTTTCCTGGCCTTGAGTACTTACCATCTTCTCTAATGAAAAGATCTTCTTTTCAAACAAATAGAGAGGTGTAAAGGTAGCATACACAACCAGGTGAGGGGACTGTATTGCTGAAGAACCTGCAAAAGCAAATGTATATATGTCATGAAAATTCTAGCCAAAATAGGTCCGTAGGTCATCCTAGAATGTTCAAATTCCTTAATGAACATTAGGATAGAATTAAAGGTTAAAAAATTAAAGATAATTCCTTATCTTTGCTGGTGAAAAATAGGTAAATGATTCTAAATGTATTTAATAAATGTTAAACCTCAAATATGCATTTATTTTTGAGATTATCTCATTAATTTTACCTTCATAATAGTACCATTTAATTGCTTAAGAAATCATTTTATTTCACTGTAAAAATGTTATCACATAAATGTACTAGTCATCAGTCAATGTAACTTAGAATGGTCTACAAATGCTTGTGTGCTAAGTAATCATTTTAACATGAAGACATTTATTAGCTTTCAGAGATAAAAATCTTGATTTTGAATTTAAAGAAGTCCAGGGGTTTTTATGTCATTTCAAGAAGAAAGAAAACATAAATAAATGACTCCATGAAGAAAGAGAACATAAGTAATGTAGTTTTGGAATGTTTAATGTTTGTAGAATTTGCTTCTGAGCATCACTTATTTATCCGTGCATTCCTAAATATCATTGATATTACTATATTTTATTTAGTATCCTTTTGTTCTTTAAAGATTGTGGCCAAAATAATAGAATTTATTTTTCTTTATTGACTTTATTTTTAATTTAAAAAGTTTTGTTTTATTCCTTTACAAATCCAATCCCTTATATTTAACTATTAGGTATGTTTATTGAAGAATAGTTATATTTAGAGCCACAAAATATAGAGATGAGCCCAGGATCTCTCTAGAATTGATTACATTGTAAAATATGACAAAGTTATAAAAACATTTTTATTTAAAAATCAAATTTGTGTATTTTTTATGGAACAGAGTTCTGTACCCAGGCAGTTTTACTCCAAAGCCCAAACTCTAAACTACCTTCTGTATCTTGAGGCTGGCCTTAACTATGAGTTTGTTTTCAAAAAAAGCCAAGGTCGGGGGGATCATTGTTATCTTTATTTTCACAAAGAAAGAAATTTAGAGAAAGATTTAGTCATTTTCACAATGATGATGAATTATCAGGAACTTTTGGAATGTTATGTCAGGAATGTTATGTCATCCACTATCAAAAAGAATTGCTTAAGGCATCAATACAAGAAAACAATTTTTAATACAGAATTAAAAATAAAATGACTAGTGACTCACTTTTCTACCAAACCACCAGACATGTTTCTGTAAAACAAAAAGCCATAAGTATTAAAATGTCCTCACAAAAAAAAAATAATAATGTATTAAGAAGAAAAAATGAAAAAAGAAAGGCTAGATAGAGCACAATGCAGGTGTTTTCAACTGTGTAGTGAATAGTGAGCTGAGGATTATAACCTACATTCTGGAAGCACCAAGATAAATGACCCAATGTTAGGAATATAAAAAAAGATAATGATATGATATATATCATGTAGTCTTAAAAAGATTATATATGTTATCTATATAATTTATACAGAGGAGGATATATACTAATACCTATGATAATATATAATTATATATTTAATATTCATATGTAGTTATATAAATGTTTATATTTATATATTTTGTATAATTTTTATATATTTATATCTGCATGTTATATAGAACATATGACAAAATCATTTAATGTAGTATAATATATATTTTATAATGTACTAATACATAATATACACATATTTATTAGAATATGTCCTCCTTCATATAAATGCTTCTCTTGTGACTGTCACACCATAAGAACTTCGACAGCCTTGGCTTCTGTCTCATATGTAGGATCTTGCCCCAATATCTATACTCATCTGAGGGCCTAACGATTGTGGGCAACCTTAAGCAAGCTTATTTATATAGGTCGAAACAGGAGATACATTTCTATTCTCCAAAGATTTCCAACATCTTAGGAAACAGCCAAAATAATTATCATTCTAGGAGACTGAGAGCTTACAGTCCAACAGAGACTGCAGAGAGTACTGTACATCTGATGAGGGTCTTGAACCGTGAAGTGACCATTTGAATTTTTCCTTTTCCTTTTCCTTTTCCTTTTCCTTTTCCTTTTCTCCATCTTTACTCCTCTTCTTCCCAACATCCTTTGCATCTGCTTTCTCTAACATATTAAAAAATACAATACATCTTTTAACTATAAAACCTCAAACTCTATTTCTTATTCAGTCATTATGTTGGGGAAAAGGCCAAAATAATAGTATTATTTAAATGTAAAACAATATAGCTTCAAATTTCCCCAAACACTACTCACCTCTAATTAGAAACATTAGAATAAAGCAAGACAAAATTTTGAAATTTGACGTGTATTGTGAAAGAACTGCAGCATTTATTTATTATAGGCTATACGTAATTTTATGTTAAATAGAAGTGATCATTTGAATATGATTTATGTGTATAACAATATAACGTCAGGATAACGTTCTCATTTTAAAAGCAAAAATCAAAGAAAAGCAAAGCATATACTTAAAGTTCAGTCCTAAATGTGGACCCTGTTAGATCTTTCTTATTTGGGACTGCATCTCAAGGAAACACAGTTTGCTGTCTCCAGAACAACTTCTGGTGGAACCTGGATGCCCAACCTACATCTCATTGCCAATGTGACTTGTGTAGTCAAACCCTGTACACAGAACTATCTGCACCATTTGAATTTCCATTCATACTGACATTTCTGTGAAATGTGTTCTCCTTCAACTTAAAAAAAAAAAACTCCAAGATTTTTTAATTCCCTAATGAAGCTCGTTCACTTCTGAAAAAAAAAAATGCAGATTTCTACCATTTCATTCTTTTATCATCTGCTAAATTTGTAATAACTATTGGTCAGTTGTTGTTTTTTTAATTTGCATACGTAAAAACTGTGACATTAACAACCTGCAATATTTCTTGGCCCCTAAACCTGTCTCATATCTTAGCTTTTATAGTAGATTTAACACCTATGTTAGATATAAAGGTGAACATAACTGTAACTTTAAGTTACATGAGACATTTAATTGGGAAACTAAAGTATAAAAAATAGGTTATCAGAATTTTATTTTGTGTATTTTCTATAAATACTTGACTTTACTGAATAAGTTAGCTAGCAATACATAACTTCATGTGTGATTTTAAAATAGAACTATAAAAGTTTTCAAACTTCTATTCAGAATTCATAATTTAGAAATAATGTAATTGATAATAAAAATTATAAATGGAAAAACTGTACTTTCACATAGAAATAAATGTGGATAGTATACAAGTGTTTACCAAAATGTGTTGTTGCTAATACTGTAAATAAATGTGCTGCTCCTCTGCCATTGCACCCCACCCATATCAACTCCACTCTAAATAAAGTTAGCAGTTGAGTCCTGGAGATGACCTTCCCCCAGTTCTGCAAACCTCTGCAACATCTATTTCATTTTTATTTATTTTTATTTAATCATTTTTTTCTTTTGTACCTTTTCTTTTTCTCTCTTTTTTTTGTATTTTTGATTTTTTGCTACATCTATTTTAAATCACCATGAGAACCTTCATCTTCCACTCCACCTCACTCCCAGCTCACAGACAGGCTGCTTATAAACAGAGAAAACAGAAGGCTTTTGTCACAAACACTCAGCTTCTCCCTGTGAAACCCGTTCACCCACCTACATCTGCAGTAAATGGTAAATAAATCATAATCTAATCTCTGTCTATTTTACACTTCCTGAAAAAATAAACAGGACAACTTTTCTCCTTTGTTGTTTTGGTCCATTCCACCCGACATATAACATAAAAGAAAGATATGTTTGATGGAAATTGAAAACTTAATGTCTCTTCCTATATTAATACTATATCAATTTTGTATCATCAAAACTGTATAATTGCCTTCGATTTTTAAAGAGAGTAAAATATGGAACAATAATTAACGTGTAGTTAACACCATTAGAAGTTCTGAAATCCCAGCAAGGAAAGACCTTAATTATTTCTGCAACACTTAATGCACAATAATGACAATAAGGAATCACTCGATTTAGCAATGATCGCAGAGCATTTATATACATTAGCCATACCGAGTAACACTGTGATATAAAATGTCTTACCCTTTGGAAATCTTTCGCTTTTCTCGAGTAATTTTAGTGTGGTCATTGACGGTTCAGGTTTGAATTCTTTGCCCTCTTTCACTTCTTTCCCATCCTTCACTTCTTTCCCTGCTTCTTTTAATTTGGTATCTATCACTATGGTTTTGCTTTCAGAGATGGACTCCTCTGACAGCTTAAATTCAGGCAATACTTCTTTCAAGAGCTCCCAAACTTTGTCCATATATCCTGGGCTTTGACAAAAACACATCGACATTAATTTTCAAATGAGCTTTTCGCCCCGCATCAAGAAATAACTGACAGGGAAAAAAATCAACTTACTATTTCACGAGATTAATTTCGAGAGCTACATTTTGGTTAAAAACACCATCATGCATTCATTCATTCAATAAGCTTTGATTGAGTGCCTACTGTGTGCTGGGCTTTGCTGATGAAAAGAAAGTAAACAAGGAGTTCTGGTTTAAGATGAAGACATAGAAGGACACTGAACTCACCAATTCCCATGAACATAATGAATCTACAGCTGTATACAAAACAATTTCCTCTGGGGGGGGAAAAAAAACTCAAAAACTAGCTAGCCCAGCGACTCTTACACTTCTGGTGAATGAGAAAAAAAACAAAACAAAACAAAAAAACCCCACATTGATGCAGGTCAGAGAGGCTGAGATACAATCTCACAACAGCCCACGCTCTCCCACAGCATAGTGACAACTGGAGGGAACTCATCACCCTGAGCTTTCCCCTGAGGAGCAATGGGTTTGAAAACCACATGCAGCACTACAACTTTGAAGACTTTACCCTGAGGAATGAGCCCCCAGAACACCTAGCTTTGAAAGCCCACAGAGATTGCATCCACAAGATCCAAGAGGCTATAGCGAACACAGAAACAGTTCTTAAAAGGCTAGCACAGGCTCACCCACCCCAGGGCCCAGTGCCTGAGGCAGCAGACTTTCTGGAAAAGAAGCTTATTTGCTTATCTTGAAGCACTGGCCTCAGGGGCACGCTTCTAACTGAACATACATCTAAGGGCCAAATAATCCTCTCCAGAGACCCAGAGGGCAGGAATTATTTTCATGCTCTTCCTTTGCCATGCATCATATATTTATGATAAAATCTCTCAACAGCAAGAGTATAGAGAGAAGATATCACAACATAAAAAAGGCCGTACCTGAGAAGCCCATGGCTAACATACTAAAATGCTGAAAGCTTTTCCTCTAAGATAAAGACGCCCACTCTTACCTCTTTGATTCAATATAGTTTTGGAAGTCCTAGCTAGAGTGAGTAGGCAAGAAAGAGAAATAAAAGGCATCCAAATTGGAACAGAAGAAGTAAAATTCTCACTATTTGCAGATGGCATGATATTATATAGGTAAAAGCCTAAAGACAACACCAAAAAACTGTTCAAACTAATAAAAAGACTCGGTAAAATAACAAGATACAAATTCAATATACAAAAATCTGTTGTGTTTCTATGTGCTAATAACAAACTATCAGAAAGATAGATATTTTTTAGAATCCCACTTAAAATTATATCAAAAAGAATAAAATACCTAGGAATAAACTTGAACAAGGATGTTGAAAGACCTGTACACTGAAAACTATAGGACAGTGATAAAAGGAATTGAAGAAGACACAAATAAATAGAGAGATATTCTGCACTCATGGTTGGAACAATTATTATTGTTAAATGTCCATACTACCCAAAGTCATCTCCAGACTCAATGCAATCTCTACTAAAATTCCTATGGCATTTACTCACAAAAATAGAAAAAAATAATCTTAAAATTTATATGCAACTACAAAGACTCCATATAGAAAGAGCAATCTTGAGAAAGAATAACAAACCATACACATCATGTGCCCTGATTCCAAACTATATTACAACACTAGAGTAATCAAAATAGTATGGTATTGGCATAAAAACGGGCACAGAGATCAATGGAACAGAACAGAGAACCCAGAAATAAACTCACACATGTACATTCAATTAATTTATGACAAAGGAGCCAAGAATATACAATGTGGAAAAAAACAGTCTCTTCAGTAAATGGTGATGGGAAAACAAGACAGCCACATGAATAAATGAATAAAACTGGACCACTATCTGATATCAGACATACCAAAAAACCACTCAAACTGGATTAAAGACCAGAAAATTCTTAGAGAAAAGATTAGGCGATAAGCTCTTTGACAGTGATGTTAGCAATGAGTTTTTGGATTTAACACTAAAAGCAAAGGCAACAAAAACAAAAATAATTGAGTGGAACTACATGAAACTAAAAAGCTTCTGCATAGCAAAGGAAACCATCAACAAAATCAAAAGTCAACCTATGGAATGAGAGAAAATAATTACAAATCATATATCTGATAAGGAGTTAACGTCCAAAATATATAAAAAACACATACAACATAAAACGCAAACAATTTGATTAATAAATGGATAAAGGATCTGAATAGACATTTTCCCAAAGAAGATATATGGTATATGGCCAAAGGTATATGGAAAGATGCGCAATATCACTAATCATTAGGGAAATGCAAATCAAAACCACAGTGAAATTTTACCTCGCACCTGTTAGAATGGCTATTATAAAAAAGACGATAAATAACAAGTTTTGGTGAGGATGTGGAGCAAAGGGAATCCCTTGTGGACTGTTGGAGTGATAATAAATTAATACAGCTACTATGGAAAACAATACGTAATTTCCTCAAAAGATTAAAAATAGAACTACCATATGATTTAGCAATTTCACTTCTGAGTATTTATCTGAAGGAAATTAAAACATTAACTTTAAAAGGTGTAGGCACCCCTATGTTTATTGCAGAACTATTTACAATACCCAAGACATGGAAACAACCTAAGTGCCCATCGATAGATGAATAGATGAAGAACATGTGGCATATATATACAATGGACTATTGTTATTCAGCCATATAAAAGCATAAAATCTTGCCATTTGAAACTTGGATCAACCTTGAGAGCGGTATGCTAAGTGAAGTAAGTCGGACAGAGAAAAATACTATATGATGGATACAGAGAACAGACTGATGGTTGCCAGAAGTGGGGGTGTGGGATATGGGTGAAACGGGTAAAAGGGGTCAAAAAGTACAAATTTCTAGTTATAAAATAAATAACTCCTGGGGATGTAATGTACAGCATGGTGAATATAGTTAATAATATTGTCATATATTTGAAAATTGCTAAGAGAATACATCTTAAAAGTTTTCATCACAAAAAAATGTGTAACCATTTATGGTGATGGATGTTAACCGGGCTTATTGGGGTGATGGTTTTGCATATGTACAAATATCAAATCATTGTGTTGTATACCGGAAGCTAAAAAAATATTACATGTTAATTATATAAATAAATAAATAAATAAACAAATAAATAATAAGACCAAACACATGGCCTTGGTTGCAAGGATCACTCAGCCTGGCAGGAGAGAGCGGCACGTTGTAAGCATGACAGGGAAAGAATAGGTATTTGAATATCGCTTATGTGCCAGGGACTTTCCTATACATTATTCATGTAAACAGTCTTTATCATACCTGAGGACTTTGCGGAACTGAATGATATTTTTAACTCTTTCTTTGAACTCTTCCCCGTGACTTCCACAATATCGCTCTTTTCTGGTTTCTTTTTATTATTATAGAAATTTCTTTCAGATTCTTTTGAACAATCCCTTTCTTCTGTTCACTACTGAAAAAGTAGGGTTGCTTCCTCGGAGTTTTCCTCTTCTGCTCTTGCCATCTTACATACTCTACCCTCAGTAAGTACTACCACGTTTTGAGCTTACCTGTATTCAGCTATAACCCTCAAATCATTAGCTCTGGCTCAAACCTCCCTCCAGATACCCAGGCCCAGGTATAAAACCATCTAATAGATATATGTCCAAAAACAAACAATACTCATCCCTCCTCTAGAAGCCAGCAGCATATAATCCAGCCACGCAGAACTCTGTGTTTTTCTGGGTCTACCCCTTGCTCTATTGCACTTCCATGCTATTCTTTATTCTCTGAGTTTCCTTCTCTACCTCACTCAGCTGAATTAACTTCCACTAATCCTTTGATGTCAGTTCAATCATTACTTTTTAGGGAAATTAAGCCATATGTTCCTGCTCTGTGCTCCCAAAGAATCTTTACGCACTTCTAGGGTAGCCTTTTACAGTACCTTTTAAATTATTCGATCAACAAACATTTGAGAACATATCATATGCCAGCCATCCAGTGTCATTGTTCTAAAGCACAGAAGACCCAATGTTGAGCAAGACAAAAAGGGTCCCTACCCTCATGCAACTTCCCATCCCAGCAGATGGATATGAGAAAGAGAGAGAAAATAACAGGCAGTGATAACTTCCACGGAGAAAATGAAACAAAGGACGATGGTTTATAACATAAGTTGGGGAAGAAATAATTGAGATTGGATGGTCAAGAAGACCTGTCTGAAGAGTTGATATTTAAGGTTGGTGACACTAAATGTTATAACATAGCTGGCCAAGTGAATATATGATGGAAGATCATTCCAGGCACAGACACACACACACACAAAAAAAGTCAGCAGAAAGATTTAAAAACTTCAAATGTAATGGAAAGAATTTAAATGAGGTAAGTGATATTATCTGATTTATGTTTTAAAAAATTATTCTGATTGCCACATAGAGAATTAGCTAGAGGAGGGAGAATTAGAAACAAGAGGACCAGTTGTGAAGCTAGTATGTGAGCAGTGACAGTGAGTTCACCTAGGTTGGTAAAAATGGGGATGCAGAAAGATGAGTAAATTCATAAAGAGTGGAGGGGACATACTATTGACAAAGATCTGTAAAAGATTGTATGTGAGAGGTGAGAAAAATGAGTGATCAAGAATGATTCCTAGGTTTGTTTACTTGCTTGTCTGTCTATTTTTATCTTGAGCAGCTGAGTGGACAATGGTGTAAAGTACTGAGATGAGATGTTTTAGAAAAGGTATGGCTTTGGGAGGCTAAGAATCCAGTGTGCCTTTCTGAATATTTTAAGTCTTTGAAATCCACATAGCTATGTAATTTAAGCAGTTGTATATAAATGGACTAGACTGCATGAAAAGGTGGTCAGGCATGACAATATAAACCTCAAAGTCATTGTCAAACAGATTGTTATTTAAGGTTGTGAGACAGGAAGGAGCCCTGTTATATGTCCCCATTTAGTGGCTGAGGAACTATCCAAGAAGGCAAAGAAAGAGCAGCAAATAGACAGGAGAAAAACAGGAGAAAAGACAGGAGAAAAACCTCAAGAGTGTGCTGTTGCAGAAGCCAAGAGAATTGTTGCCAAAGGAAAGAGTTGTTTTCAGTCCAAATACTGGGATGCCAAATAAATGGGGCAAGAGAAGTGATCGCCAGATTTGACAATGTCCAGGCCTTCGTTGACCTACGGAAGAACCATTTCACTGGTGTGGTGAAGAAAACACAGGGTCGATGAGGAAAGACAGAGGTGAGGAGATGAAGGCAGCATGCCCAGACCACTCACTCGTTCAGATTTTTTCTGAGGAAACAATAAAAAGTAAGATGAACTGGGGACCTGAAAATGATCATTGGTTTCTTTGTGCATCTGTGATTTGCTTGAGTTCCTGAGCTCTCTCGTACTCCTCGTTGGATGAGAAGAAAACACAGAGTCGGTGAGGAAAGACAGAGGTGAGGAGATGAAGGCAGCATGCCCAGACCACTCACTCGTTCAGATTTTTTCTGAGGAAACAATAAAAAGTAAGATGAACTGGGGACCTGAAAATGATCATTGGTTTCTTTGTGCATCTGTGATTTGCTTGAGTTCCTGAGCTCTCTCGTACTCCTCGTTGGATCTCCAGGGCCTGGCAGATAGTGGGCGTTTGGTATATTTTATTTTTGCATTGAATCCCATGAAAGCTCTGAAACATAGTTATTATAATCCTAATTGAGGTTTAAGAGGCTGTAAATTTTATGCAGTCACAACTAGCAAATGATAGCATCAGGATTCGAGCAGATCTTTCTGAATCCAAAACCCGTGCTATGACTTGTCTCTTCGTCTACAATAAGAAAAATGCTATGCTTTGAAAGAAAAATATTCACATACTGCAGAATGAGACTAAATAAATTCTTGAACAGTTAGGCTTAAATATGGGTGGTGGAGTGCCCTATTGACAAATGAACTACATCAAGATCGGAGAGATTTGCCAAGAAGAGTCATCTCCATTTGAAATTGTTCAGACATCTAAAATATATTCAAACATGTCATTGACTGTGTTTCTATTATAATACGGAGAGTTAGAAGGTGTTTTTATTTTTAATGATAAAACTGTACTAATTTTAGGAAAACATAAGAGGCAAGGCCAGCAGTTGCAAATAGAGTAGCGTCCCACATTGGTACTCCTGTAGTTTGTTGGAGATGCCACAAACACTTCACTCTACCAGATTTTCACACAAAAACAAAAATCAGCAGTCAACACAATCCTGAAACTTCGATATTCTAATTTTCTTTGACTTCTGTGAAACCATGACCACAGCTGGCCAAGCCCCTAGGGGCTTTCTCTGCATACTCTAACCCTCCTTAGTAACGGAAGCACCCCACTCCTGAACATACCAGGCCTGTGATCATATTGTTCTCGTGCTTTCAATAGCATTCGCCTTCCTGTTGTTCAGATCAAACCCAGCCAAAAGTAAAGGTTCAGAGCAAGTCAGAATTTTCTCCATGAAGCCACACCGGACCCCGGCCTCCACCCTTGGCAGATGGTGATTGTTCCCATATTTCAACTTAAACATTTCTTGACAATCATTTATATACTGTTTCATGACATTATTTTCATTTAAAATTACATATATATGCATACACACAGGAAGTAACTTTGTAATTTATAGTACAATATTAATTTAAAATTATATGAATAATGCAGCAGAATGTTCATAAGAAAAAATTCTACACATCATGATACAGTTCAAAGATGGTGTACCACTTTTACTTTTTGGTTTTATTTGGAAGTGAATTGATAAATTTGAATGTCTGGGTCAGTCTCACTTATTCTTCTTCAGAATTTTCCCTGCTTCCAAAGGTTGATTATTAACTACTATATATATTTCTAAATAATATTAAATAATCTAGTGAAAGTCATAGAAACTAAAAGAAACTTTCACTTATTATGTCATACAACACACTAGCTACTTTTTCTGACACTCTCACCTATTCATTTAATCTTCCAAACAATCATATAGGATGAGTCATTGTATTCCATTTACATAAAAAGAAATGAGGCCCAGAGAAGTTCATTACTTAACAAAATTCACATAGCTTAAAATTGGAAGTGTAAGAATGTAAATCTGTCTATATAGTTCTGACTCCAAAGCTCAAGCTTTTCCCCCTTATGTCATTTTCACAGATACTTCATAAGCAACCATAAATTCATGCAAAGTAAACATCTAAAATATTTCCAATTTTTTACTATCAATTATTTAAATGATCTCCTTAAAATTATGACAGTATGTGAACACTTTAATTTTCATGTATGATTCTAGCAAGAGACAATTCACAATTTTTAATTAACTAATTTTTTAGTTGTGAATTATTCTGATCTCCTATTTCTGTACCATCCTCTGATAGACTTCTGATAATTTCATGTCTTTGGTATCTTTATTGACTACTGTACAGAGAAAATTAAGGCAAAATTGTAAGTATTCCATCAACACTGAAGACAAAAATTTAGAAAAGTCTATACTTTTAAATCCCATTATCTGTCCACTTTTCTCGACTGACATTGTCTATATTATTATGTCAATTAATATTCTCTTCCCTTAGATATCGGAAAAGGATTTTCCATGAGAAGATGCAAAAGGGTGCTATCTGGACCCTTCCCTAAGACAAAACAAAAGATCAGCTCTCCTTCAGAAAAGTTGTCTTTCAGGGAGAGTGTTTACCCTTCCATTTTTCCTTTGAACATATTTTTACTTGAACCAAGCAGCAGCTAGTTTAGCTTTCTGAAAAGATGCTTCAGATGTAGAATCCAAGTTACTAGGGCCTATCTTCAATCTCCTCTAACCTGGACCCTGGGGAAAAGTAGCTTCCCAGCATCAATCAAAGATCAAAGATGATCTAAATTGATAACTGTATTGGGGATTTGGTCTTCTTGTAAATATCAGCATCTGAATTGATATGCTCAGATATATTGATGTAATTTTATTCTCTGCACTTTAACCTGATTAATTTCCAGTGTCAGTGGTAATATATGATGAAATTGTGTGTCTAAACCTTTATGTGTGAAATTTTAAGTAAGCATTACATTACACGGTCTCTCTTTTTTGGATGCAGATAAGCAATCTCTATATATCTAGACTTATATGAGAGAGAGATTGTGTGCTTTGGACCTAGCAACATTTAGATTCAAATTTTGTTTCCTCCAGGTACAATGTGCACAGATTTGGAGTATTCAACCTCTCTGAGCTTCAATTTCTTCATTTGCGATGACATATACCTAGTTGATGGGGTCATATAGTGATTAAATAAGGTAATCTTTTCGGGACTGTGGCTTTTAATTAGAAATAATATATTAAAGTGCCTAATGTCTAATATGTGTTTCATTATTATTTTCTAATATATATGGCTAATTAAAAGTTACTTTTATGTTTCTGTATTGAATAAATGTAATAGCTGCGTAAGGATAAAGGGACACCTGTAAATATTTTATAACAATAAATAATTAACATCGTTTTAACATTTGTAATTCAGAGAGTTAAGAATTCAATTCACAATATATATAAGGGAACAGAATTTATCTTGAAAATTTCAAGGAATTTTATATAATACATACTATAAAGTGTTATTCTCTCAAATATTTTGTAAAAGGTAATATTTCTTGAAATTTTCTCAAAGCCTAAAAATACTTCAGTTAAAGAAATCTTCCTGGGGAAGAAAGGAAAAAAATATATGAGTAACTTAATGGTCAAACCTACTGCAGTGGAATGACTTCTGGTAGCCATCCTGTGAGTGCATGAATAACTGTGAACTCTCCTAGTTCTCTCCTCTCTGCTACATGGATGCTAAAAAAGCAAATATAGTACAGTTAATAAAATTTGAAAACACAGAGAGATATATAGGAAATAGGAATCTCTAATACATAGTGACATAATAATAAATGTAGGCATCATACTAGTTATACATTTATAGTACAAGAAAATGCTATTCCAACAGTCAGATGACTTGTTTTCTTAAAGCACTTAAATAGATCCAATGATAAAATGTTTAGTTATAAAACATACTTATATGCTTTATTTTAAAAAGTATAAATTAATATTAATGTCACACACGTAAACATATTCACACATTATATATTTTAAAATATATAAATATAGATAATATATATTTTATATATTCCATATATTATCATGTGGTTCTTTTAAAAATGGAACAGTGTCCTCTATCTTTCTGATTTCAGTGATTATTCTAAGAGGCCTATGAGGCTGTGTATTGTCAGTCTCACACATGGCAAGTCAAGATGGGTATCAGACATTCTTAATTAAATTCTTAGATAATTTCAGAGAAACCAGAAACATCTATTCTATCCTGTACAAATGACTGGATCTGCTACCATAGCATAAAATCAAACAACATTGTGATTGGTCAAATATCATTGTTTCATTTTAGTCCTTTGTTTTTCTGAAGTGATTAGTCTATTTACATTAACATATGTAAATGTCATATCCCTGTTCTGCCCAGGCATCATAGTGGTGATTGATGGACTGATGTGTCTACCTATTTCAAAGATAACAAATATCTGCTGGGATAGTCTAAACTCCTCTTTGGATAACCATATTTAGTAAGTGACTGTACAAACCTCATAGAAATAATGTTTTTCCCTTTGCATATATCACAATATTGACATAACTATTAAATATTCATTTTTAATGTAAAAAGTTAAAACTCAGATGACAATATATAAAATCTGAGAAAAAATGTATAGACAAATATAAATTGTACCATGTAGTGCAGGTTTCTCCTAGAAAGCCTAAGAAATGTCTTACATTTAGTCTGATCCTTTATTTCTAAGCTGGATTTATTTATTTTTTAAAAAATAACAATTCTATTACTCAAGTTGTTATAAAATCCTATCAAACAATAGCTTTAAGAATGACAAAATGCCACTCCAACTAGGTTATACATTTAATGCTTCACTGGCCTCGCAGCTCCAATTCTCACATCTTTAAGTGAGGTCTGGCAATTAGGAACATTAGGAACATTATTTTCTTTCAAAATAAACAAATAACGTTGTCACCAGTATGAATACTTAGTTGTATTCAGCTACCTAAAAAGATCTGGGCTGAGTTTTTTTTTAAATGTTTAAAATTAAGGGCTGCGAGCTGGGTAAAACAAATTCCCAGTAGAAAATTGAGGGTTGGTAAGAGAAAAGAGAGATGAAGAGGATGGCAGTAGGCGTGACTTTTTTGTTATTGTAGCCTTGGGGGAGATAAAGGATGCTGAGCCTAAAA